CTAGAATGGTCTGGGAGACCTGGGAGAGGCTGTATGGGTTCTCCAAGCCCCAGCTGGCCTGTGTCCAGTCATCTCTGACTGGCCGGCTTAGCTTTTGTCACCAGCCGATCACAATGTCCTTCCTCTGTATTCTCTACTGCTGCCAAGGGACAGAGTTGACTGGGTGGCAGTCTGACTCTCTCTCTCTCTGAAGATCCTAATAGATGTCCTTTGCAATTGCCGACTGGGGTCTATCGTTCCTTCTCTGATAAGCTGTGCGGAGTGGGCAGTGAAGGTATATGTGCAAGGGTGGGTGCCCTTCAGTAAATCACTTGCCTTCCTCTGCTGTAAAGCGGAGCTGAAATTTTGCAACTCACGAAACAACCAGGATTAATGACAATAGCATTTCATGAAGATTTGCCGTGTGCTGTACTAAAGGGTTAACATTCATGAAGTCATTCAGCTTTCAGGAATATATAAAGCATATATTGTGATTACCTCTCCCATTTTCCAGAAGGGGAAAGGCATCACAGAAATGCTAGGTGACTTTTTTTTTTGAGACAGGGTTTCTCTGTATTGTTTTGGAGGCTGTCCTGAAACACGATCGGTAGACCAGGCTTGGTCTCGAACCCACAGAGATCCACCTGCTAGGTGACTTTTTAAAGTTACTCAGCTAATAAGCAAAATGAGGCTCTGAGCCAAGCAACTTCACCTCAAAGTTCAGACCCACCTCACTCTGTCTCTACCCTAGAACTACTGCACACAGTAGGCTCAGTATCTACCAATAGCCCCATTGTGGACATGTCCCTGTGACTCTGTGCCCTGCCTGATAAAAAGCACTTTTCTTACAGCCTCAGGCTCAGAGGAGACCCAGTTGGAAGACGGGCGGTTAAGACCAGATCGGATTAAAGGATTACCTATTTCACCAGAGCTGCACGTGCACCCCCACTCCCCCAGGACACTCATCACCCTTCCCCCAACTCCCCTGGGTCAGAGGATGAAGCTGGAACAGGGTCCTGTGTTTGAAAATGAGATGGTTGTGAAAGTAGCCCACAGGGCACCTCCCTTCCTCTTACCATGTTTAGGAGATGTAAAGGGGAGCTCTGACCCAGGGGTGGGCATAGCAGCGGTAGTGTATTTGTGTGCAGGTCGCAGGAGCGAAGAAGGAATTCCACTTACTTCTCCTCCACCAGTTGCTTCTGATACTCCTCGTACTCTTCTCGGCTCATGCCCTGTGCTTCAGCTGCAGACTTGTCTCCATCCCCCTTGTCCTCGCCGCCCCCCAGGCTCCCGGTGAGGTTCTTCAGCTGGCCGCCCACCATGGTCTTCACCATGAACGCCATGGTCTTCTCTGGCCACTGTACCAGGCGCCTGGTTCGTCGGCGCCTACTTCAGCACTAAGTCCCAGGGACAGCTCCGGCTGCGAGCTTGCGCCCCACGCTTTGCGCACCGCCCCTACTTTCCCAAACCCCTCCTCACTGGGGGAAGGGGGAAGTGGGGGGGCATGCACGGGGCTGAGAAGCCTGGACCACGTGCCCGCTCCTCACTCCCGCCTTGCCCACGTGCCTCCTTTAGTGCCAGCCAAGCTCTGCTGGCTACTGCTGACAGCTGATTAGGGCTTGTGGTGGTGGGGTCGCTGGGAGAAGGGGCTGCGCTGATATGTGCCTTGATCCCTGCAATGTCCTCTACCCCTGGGTCATCGAGAACCAGGTCTTCATCTTGGAGCACCCGGTAGCGTCAACAGCCAAACACCCCCCAGCCTTGGGACCCACTGCATCCTCCTTCTACCCCACCTCCAAGCTGTTGACCCTAGCAGCCGCCTTAAAGCACTCAAGGCTGGGAAGTGGGGAGACCTCAAGAGCTTGAGCAGGAATCCCAGTTACATGGTTCGGTGAGTTTGCGCTTAGTTCCTCTGTCACGTGTCTGCCTTCTGTCCCTAGAGCCTCAGGGAGTGGGGAAGGGGAGTGTGGTTTGGGGGTACTGAAAAGATGAGCCAGAAGGAACCCAGGGACCTCTCCTTGTCCTTGGTGAGTTTAGGAACAGAATTTCGCAGTTGTCTTCCTTTGCCTCAGTCGTCCAGAGGAAAAGGCTGTGTGGGTACCTGGCTCTTGGCTTTCTTGCCTGCTTGGACCCTATTCCTGCTACCTACCTAGAGAAGGTGGAAGCCATCAGAGACTGTTTGAGTTTGGAAGGCACATGAGGAGATCAGCATGGCGAGAGGAACATCACCTTTAATATGATGAGCTTGACAAAAGCTAAGATGTGGGCACTGAGGAAGGACACTGGCCAAATCCTCAATCCCCCATTTGTCTCCTGGTAAGACATGACTTGGAGTTGGGTCAAGTTTGCATGCTGTAGGGCACAGGCTGTCTCCTCAGAGCCCCTAGTGTCCTGGGCAGGGGCAATGCAGGCTCTCGAGGAGGGCTTCCTGTGGACAGGTACTCCTGAAGCCGGGTGTCCAGCTCCTGCCTGCTGCCAGAAAGAAAAGGCTACCTGAGTCTCCCTTCTGAAACCAAGACTCATACTTGTCTCTCAATGCTGAGTGTTCCACAGACTCCCATATTCTGGACCTTCCATGGCTCCCTTGACATGCCACATAAGTTTACACTTCACCCTGGCATTTGAAGTTTTTCTGGGTGGTTTAGTACTAAAGCTAAACTCCTGTGCACACATTTTCTTCTTTTTCTTTAGACAAGATTTCACTATGTAGCCTAGGCTGGCCCAGATATCTGCATCCCTTTGCCCCAGCCTTCCAAGTGCTGAGATCAAAGGCATTCATCTCTAATCCAGAACACCCAGATTCCTTGCTCAATTTTGTAAGTCGGTCTTGCCCTTTACTCAGTTGCTGTCTTTTTCTTTCCCCTAAGATGCCTTTTTTTTTTCATGCCTCCATGCTTTTTCTGACACTGTTCCCTCTGCATCAGTGCTTTTACCTATTTTGTCAGGCTGAAAAACTCTTAGCCACTTTGATGACCCAAATCTAATATCCTTTCCAGGTCAATTCCCTGATTCCCATCTACCCCAACTCCACCCCAAAGATGATTCAGTTGCCTTTTTCCAATTCTCCAAGCTTCTAGCCATCACAGCACTGGCAACATAAGGTCTGGCTATCAGTTAGTTAGTTTTCAGTGGCTCACTCTAGAGCGAGCTCTGTGGGGCAGGACCAGATGGGACTGGGCCTTAGTGGGTGTCTGTACTTAATAAGTGAGGCGTCCCTGTCTATATTCTGCTCCCAGCCCTCTGGTGAACTGGGTAGCTCCCATCTGAGCTTTAGGGTCCCCTATTTCAAGTTCAATGGTTGTAGACCACAACCAAGATATAGAGGTGGTATGGGAAGCCCTGCCCATGGGAAGGCCCACCTGAAGTTTATGTAGCAGAAGAAGCCTACAGTCTGCATGAGGAGGAAGAACAGGAAGACACTGGTGCGAAGACACGTAGAAGTTCCTGAGAGCCAGCCAGATGGGCGGGGAGCCTTGGCTGTCATTTTCTGAAAGGGAAAAGTATGAGGCTCTGTCTCCGCATCTAACACAGGAGAGGGGGAGGGGAACTGGAATTCTGCCTTGCATGGTCCCTATTTATCTCCCTCAGGCTTGGGTTATCCTGGGGCTGTCATCTAGGGAACAAGGAAAAAAGACAAGTGTCCAAAGCCGCGTCCTTCTCCAATCTTGCATGGTTACGTCTGTGGGAATAGCTCAGAAGATACAGGTCCTGGAATCATCAAGAGACCAAAGGTGTAAGAGATGAGAGAGAAGGAGAAGCAGATGGTGACTCGAGGGTGAGGAAAAGAACAAGGAAGGACAGAGACCCAGGAAGACCAGCATCACCACTGAATCTGAGTGGTCCCTGGCATGGTCTATCCACTTCCCTTCTGGTCATCCAGGGCATTTGGGTAGTTTGAGTTTGTGGGCCTTCCTCCTGAGCAAAAGAGTGTAAAGATAGCTGGGCGTACACCTTTAATCCCAACACTTGGGAGATAGAGGCAGGTGGATCTCTGTGAGTTCAAGGCTAGCCTGGTCTACAGAAAGTTCCAGGGCTACACAGAGAAACCCTGTCTCCAAAAAAAAAAAAAAAGACAGAGAGAGTCAAAGATGAGATCTGTCTCTTCTTCATGCCCATGTGCAGGCACACATCGATACGGATGTGCCTATTAGGGTTACTGGACAGATGCTCTGAAGCTATAGAAGTGTTGGGAGAAGGGTGGTAGAGACCAGATCTTAAGGACGAGCCCCTTGTATGATCCACTTTCTTACCACCAGACCCCGGAGGTCCTTCTGCAGGAGGCTGAGGATCTGGTCCAGCTCAAAAAAAATGATGTTTAGTGCCCACAGGCAGGTAGAAGACCTGGGCTCCTGAAGCCATTTGGGCAGCTGCTTTCCTGGTGGTGTGGTGGAGCATGGAAATCAAGGAAGACGATCCATTATACTTCTTGGTTGTACACAAATTACCAAATCTTTTCCCATAATCCTCCAGGGCCAGCACATGGTAAAGAATAGGTATCATTAATAGAGTCTTTTCTTTGGGGCTGGTCTTTTTACTCTAAAAAACTTCTCCCTAGAACCTGAGACAAGTTTAGTGTATACAAAGAATTCTCTAAAAGTATCTGGATATGGGCCAGGCTCCCTGGGCTCTGCTTTTTATCTCTGGCCCCGGGGGAATTAACTCCTCTCAGGTTCTTGCCCTCTGCCACCTTCAGGCATCTAGATGGAGATTTACAGCCACAGGACCTACAAAGTACAAGGGATCTCCCCACCCCCAGAACTCTACAGGGAAGTCCACAGGCAAGGGTGAACCAGAGTGAGATTCTGGGAGACTGGAGGCAAAATGAGCTTATATCACCAAAGGCTAGGCTTCCTCCAAGAACCTTTATCAAAATAAATGCCCTCAGGGACTGAGGAGATGGCTCGGTGGGTAAGAGTGCTTGCTTTGCAAGCACAGAACCTGAGTTCACATTCCCAGCACACAGTTAAAAAGCCAGGTATGGTCGCAGGTACCTATAGCCCAGCATTGGGGGCAGGAATCTGACAGAGGCAGGATGACAGAGGAGCCCTTCTTCCCTCTCAGTCCCCCTCCTCACTCTCTCCCTTACCTCATCTCTTGCAGGGCCTGGAGCAGAGTCCGCTGTCCATAGAGCAGGGTGCCGACCTGGGCAGTGTTCTACAGGAGGGCCAACTCTTATCCCGTGTCCCGAGTGCAGTGCCCTTTCCTCAGAGGGCATCTTCCCCACGGATACGTCACTCTTCTTCTAGAAGCCTTCCTAAACAGCCATGGGTCTCCTCTGTTTGGCACACTGAGTCTCCCATAGAACTTACCTACCTGGGCTTCTGCAGGCCCCTCCTTCCACACCAAAGGTGTGTTATTTCTCCCCAAAGGGCCCTCTAGGCTTTCCAAAATCCTTCTCCTTTTAAAAAGTGTCCCTGCCCCCTCACGGAAGCAGAAGCCCAACCCAATCCTTTTTGTGTCTTTCTCCTAGGCTGCAATCCAAACTAAGGGCCAGCACTGGTTAAAATCCAGCACATGGGTCCAAGTCTGGCAGAGTGACCTGGAGACATAGTTGACACTCTGAGGAGTGGAGTCATGTAAGTGGGGTTCAGGGTATGAAGGCAGGATCAGAGATTCCAGGAGTGTGGGTCTCTGTGCCACTCCAACAGCCTAGCCTAGACTATTCTGAACTGAGGACAAAAGATTAAAGCCTTGGGCTGGCAGAGCCCAGCAAAACCTGCATGAACGGCTGCTGGCTGGCTCCCTCTGCCCACTAGCCAGCACTTTGGTTGAGTTTACCTTTCACTCCCCAAGTCAGAGCATGGCCTATGGAATGACACCTGGGGAGGAGCTAGGGTGGCAGCAGAGATGAAATGAGGATTCTGGTGCAACTGAGCATTTAAGCAAGTCTTATGCAAATCACACGTGAAGCCATATGCAAATTAGAGCCTAGTCTATTTCTGCCATTTGTCTATAGACCAGATTCCAAATACCTGGCATGTCTTCTCTGCAGCCCAGCCCTGTGGCTCCAGGACAATTGCTATGTGTTAATGTCCTCTTACATACCTCCTTGTTGCATGCCGTGACCTGCCCTCCTTTCCCTCTAAGCTTTGACGAGGCTAGCTCTAGACTGCCACTATTCTTTCAAGCTGTGGATAGTAACTAGGGTACCCCGGGGTCACTCACCCAGCCTCCTTCAGGCCTGACTTGAACTGTAGACCCTAGCTGCTGTTTCCACTGCCTCTCGGCCTGGTCCAGCTGCCTGGAGAGAGCCTGGAGGGCTTGCAGGATCTGGCTTTGTCTGCCCAGTGTATCCTCCAGGTCAAAGAACCCTTCCCCTAGGGATTAGGGCAAAGCCAAGATGGAAAGACCACTGGGGTGGGGAAAATGAGGAGGTGTAGATTCTGTTTCTAAGACCCTCCCCTGGAAAATGGGTCTGGGGGCTGGCAAGCAGGGTGAGCAACAGAAAAATGCTTGCCAGGAAAACTTGGAAATGTAATTTTGATCCCCAAATTCACCAGAACCCATGTAAAGGTAGAAGGAGAGAATAGATTCCACAAAGTTGTCCTCTGACTGCCACACAAATGTGTGCGCGTGCGCACACACACACACACACACACACACACACACACACTTTCCACGTGCACATGCTCATGTACACAAGCTGAAAAATAAAATGTGTCTGGGGGGTCATAGGTCAGACTACTTGGTCCAGTTTCTGCTTAGATACAGCCTGCTTGGGCCTCCACTTCTCCATTGGTTAATGGACTTTGTGTTCTAAGGTTCCTGTGGCCCTCCAATGTGCCATGGCCCCACCTGCCTGCTCCTTGGGTACTTACCTTCTTCCTGGGCTTTGGAGTCCAGCGGTTGAATGCTGTCCTTGCTGGTACTCAGGGCCAGCCTTGTCTGCAGCCCTTTTAGCATCCTGGTCAGGCGAAACTTCTCCTTCTCCATGAAAGTCTGGGGGGCCACCTGAAAGAAAAAGACAGAAAGTCAACCCCAAATGCATGGGAGTCCTGTGAGGGCAGCCTTCCCCCAACAGCCTCAAGGTCCCGGGGAGCCCAGTCTTCCTCCCTAACCACATACTCCCTGGGATCAAAGAGGAACCCACAGCTCAACCACCAGGCCCCCATGGAACCCCGCAGTCATATGAGCACCGTACCTACCTCATCCTTACATCCTTCTCTACTCACTGAGCTCAGGTCTTTGGACATTTTAAGCCTTTGTGTATGGTGCTCATTTAGGCTCATCTCCTCCTGGCATCCTTCTCCCCCCTCCTCGCTGACTCAGACCCCTCTTTAGTGTTCCTTCTGTTCCCCTCTGACCCTGACCCTGGGTTGTTTTGGTTTTGTTTGTTGTTGTTGAGACAATGTCCTAACTGTGCTGCCCTGACCTGGCACCCAGAGAGTGCTGGAATTAAAGGTAATTGTCATCTAGGAAGCCTAGAGGACGAGCCCTGGCCCCTACACTACTCAGCCCAGAGCTTGACTTTGGCAAAGCTCAGAGAGCTAGCTGAGACAAGAACGAGAAGGGCAGATCTAAGATGCCCTGTTGTGAGTGGAGGCGTCTGAGGAGAGCCGCATCTCAGGCTACCTCTCCCAGGCAGAAAGGGCTGGCGTTACCTCTGGACCTGGTTCCCACAAACTGAAGGTCAGGAAGGACAGGATATCATGGTCATCTGGAAGGGGGACAGATGAAGGGGAGATGAGGAGCTTTTTACCCAGAAGTTCATCCATCCAGACTCTACTGTTTTCTGGGAAAATAAGAGGCTTGTATGACTCTGGGCAACTCTGACCTTTGTCTCACAGGGAAGGTATGAAGGTAAATACCCAAGTGTGTGTGGATATGTGAGTTGAACCACACACAGCCAGAGTGGGTCCCAGCAGCCATGCAGCAGACCACAGGGCACTGAAGGCTGCTACTGCAATTGCAGGCACACAGTGGCTGCTTCCCAGCATGCTTGTAGCCATGCCACTCTTCCCTCCTTAGGAACCTTCCATGGCTCCCCAGTACCCAGGGTCTAAAGACTAAAGTCTTGGTAGTCACAGATTCCCACTCTCCAGTTGCAGCCTGCTTTTCAGTTGTAGGACCCTCCGTGGGCTCTCCACTGCAAGACATCCTGTTATTCCCTACTGTAGCTCATGCTGTCCCCCTTTTTACCATCCTACAGCACCTAAAGTGAATTTACGGAGATGGATACTAGAATATAAATTTTCTCATTGCTATCTCATTTGAGACCTTTTTCGAGACAGGGTCTCTGTAGCCCGGGTTGACCTGTAAATCTGCTGTGTAGCAGAGGATAACTTTGAACTCCTGATCCCCCACCTCTGCCTCCCAAGTGCTGTGAGTACAGGCATTCACCACCACACCTGGGATCCTGAATGCTGCCTCAGCACTCACCAACAGAGCTACATTACCAGTTTCCCATTTGAGACTTTCAATAGTCCTTCAAGGCCAATGTGACCTCCTGATGGAGAAGCCAGAGAAGGAGGGTGACCAGCCCAGCCCAGATGAAGTAGTTAACACCATACAAAGGTGTTTTAGAAGCTGCAATAAAGTTTCATCATCACCAAACACAGCCCTCTGCTCTTACCTACCTGGTGGGGTCCTCACCTGCTAAGGTGCTGGTGGCTGCTGAGACCCCAAAGAAGCCTCCAGGGGCCAAAAGCAGAGGCTCCACATTGACACAGACCTCTTCAGGGTCATTGGGAGTATGGCCTCCACTCAAGGACACCTAAGGGATATGGAGGGAGTGAGTTCCTGCCTCTGCCTGGTCCCTGGCTAAGGGACCAACACCTACTCAGACTCACTGGCTTCAGCTTGAGTAATATAGAAACTACAAGGCCTGGGATCACAATGGCATGGAAATGCCATGGATGCTGGTTTCATGGGAGCTTTGTACGTTTCTGTTGTTAAGATTCTTTGTATGAAACTCAAGTCCACATGGATCAAAGAGAAAGTGTGGAATAACCTTGAACTCACTGGCAACTTCTTAAACAGAACACCAGTTGTGCAGGCACTAAGATAGACAATTAGTAAATGGGACCTCCTGAAACTGAAATGCTTCTGTAAGGCAAAGGATACTATCAATAAGACAAAACAGCAGCCTACAGAATGGGAAAAGGTCTTCACTAACCCCACAGCTGACAGAGGGTAATTTCCAAGATATATAAAGAACTCAAGAAACTAGACATCAAAAAACCAAATAAATTCAATCAAAGATGGGATACAGATTTGAGCAGAGAATTCTCAACAGAGGAATCTCAAATGGCTGAGAAACACTTAAGAAATGTTCAAAATCCTTAACCATCACAGAAATGCAAATCAAAACAACTCTGAGATTCTATATTATCCCTGTCAGAATAACTAAGGTCAAAAGCACAAGCAGCTCATGCTGGAGAGGATGTGGAGCAAAGGTAATATTCCTCCATTGTTGGTGGGAGTGCAAACTTGTACAGCCACTTCAGAAGTCAATACGGTGCTGGGTGTGGTGGCGCACGCCTTTAATCCCAGCACTCGGGAGGCAGAGGCAGGAGGATCTGTGTGAGTGCGAGACCAGCCTGGTCTACAGAGTGAATTCCAGGACAGGCTCCAAAGCTACACAGAGAAACCCTGTCTCAAAAAACCAAAAAAAAAAAAAATCAATATGGCAGTTTCTCAGAAAATTGGGAATCAGTTTGTCCCAAGACCCAGATATAGCACTCCTGGGCATATACTCAAAGGACACGCCATCACACCACAAGGACACTTGCTTAACTATGTTCACAGCAGCTTTATTCATAATATCCAGAGACTGGGAGCAACCTAGATGTCCCTCAACAGAAGAATAGATGAAGAAACTGCAGTATATTTACACAATGGAGTATTAGTTTTTTAAAGACAACAACATCATGAAATTTTCAGGCAAATGGATAGAACTAGAAAAAAATCACCCTGAGTGAAGTAACCCAGACCCAGAAAGACATGGTATGCACTCACTTATAAATGCATATTAGCTGTAAAGTAAAGGAAAACCATGCTACACTCCACAGATCCAGAAAGCTAAGTTACAAGGCAGGGTTCAGGAGTGGAATGTATGGAATCCCCCTGGGACGGGGAAATAGAATAGACACTGGGGGTGAAGGGAGCTAGGGGAGGTGGGGGTAGGTTGGAGGGAGAGAGTACTGGGAGAGAGGAATGTAATTGGGGACATCTTAGGGACCAGCTAGAAACCTAGTGTAATGGAATTCCCAGGAATCTATGAGGGTGACCCTAGCTAAGACTCGTAGCAATGGGATACAGAGCCTGAATTGTCTCCTATAACCAGGCAAGACTTCTGGTGGAGGGACTGGGACACCAATTCAGCCACATAACCTTTGACCTACATTTTCCTGTCTACGAGACTAGACGTGCTGGGGTAAAGGTGGCACAGAAACTGTGGAAGTGGCCAACCAATGACTGGTATAGTTTGAGACGCAGGCCACAAGAGGGAGCTCATCCCTGACATTGTCTGGAGGGCCAGGAACCAGAGGGTGGGCAGCCCAGAGACCAAACAAAACTGGAGGGGGAAAAAAGGTCAATGAAAAGATTGCTAACGACATTCTACTATACTCATAGGTTGGTGCCTAGCCCAGTTGTCATCAGAGAGGCTTCATGCAGCAACAGATGGAAACATACAGAGACCCACACCCAAACATTAGGCAGAGCTTGGGGAATCCTGTGGAAGAGGGGGAGGGAGGATTGTAGGAACCATAGGGGTCAAGGACACCACAAGAAAACCCACAGAATCAACTATCCAGGACTCACAGGGACTCAGAAACTGAACCAACAATTAGAGGGCCTAATGGGACTGACCTAGGACCTCTGCATTTATGTGACAGTTGTGTAGCTTAATCTCCGTGTGGGGCTCCTGACACTGGGGGCAGGGGCTGTTTGTGAGTCTTTTGCCAGCTTTTGGAACCCTCTTCCTCATACTGGGTTGCTTATCCAGCCTTACTATGAGGGGAGGTGCCTGGCCTCACTGCAGCTTGATATGCCAAGTCTAGTTGATATCCATGGGAGGCCTGCCCTTTCTGAAGAGAAACAGAGGAGGAGCTGATGGGGGCAGGGAGGACTGGGAGGAGAAGAAGAAGGGGAAACTGGTCCGATGTAAAAAAGAAAATAAAAAGGAAACAAAATGTCCTCCCCACCCCACCAAAAACTCAAAAGAAACAATGAGGAAAATCAAATAAAAATGTAATATTGAGAGAGAGAGAGAGAGAGAGAGAGAGAGAGAGAGAGAGAGAGAGAGAGAGAGAGAGAGAGGAGATTCTTTGTATTTCTTTGTATGTGGAAGACTACATGTGGGTATTGGTCTGAGTGTACTAAGCACTCACATGGGTATGAAGACAAGTGTGGGGTGACACATGGGTCACAGGCATGAAGCTATTGAATGCTAGGCACCCCAAACCACAGCTCTACCTCCCACCAGAGGCTCCCACAGAAACAGCAGGGGTGACTCACCTGCAGCCTCTGCCTCCAGTAGGTGATCCGAGCTCGGAAGGGGTATGGCCAGTTCCTGAAGTCCCGGTGACAGGAGCCCAGCTCGTGGACAGTTCCATCCCTATGAACACTTGGAATGCAGTCAGACCACATAGGACCCACAGACAAGCCAACAGGAGCAACTCTGTTCAAGCCTAAACTGTCACTGTCCCCATTGGGTGACCTGGCCTGGGACAACTCCCTCTTGTCTAGCCTGACTCCCTTGCTATAGTTTGCTTCTTGGCAGGAGAAGGAGGAAGAAAGCTCTGTGTGGCAGTGTTGACTGGCACTTGGGAAGTCACAGGAACCAGGGGTGTCTGCAAAGGGACAGAGGCCCAGGCTAACCATGGGATTTCCAATTTCTAGCCCCCAGATCACCTCATAATCCCACTGCCCCCCTCCCTCTTCTTCCCTGAAGCTCCAAGGCCTGTCACTTTCCCCAACTGCCAAGGCTCAGACTATTTGAGGCAAAGGACAATATGGCTAGTTCACCTTTCCCCAAGGGAAGTTCATCAGGCCCAGGGAATTAGGAGCAGAGAGTTGAGACTGAGTTGCTCTGGTCCATGGGTGCATACTATAATATCACCTTCAGCCAAGAGTTGGGTAGCAGACAGCACTCGGGAGGCAGAGGCAGGTAGATCTTTGTGAGTTCAATACCAGCCTGGTCTACAGAGTGAGTTCTAGGACAGCCTGGAAAACAATACAGAGAAACTCTGTCTTGAAAAACAAAAACAAAGCCGGGCAGTGGTGGCACACGCCTTTTATCCCAGCACTCGGGAGGCAGAGGCAGGTGGATCTCTGTGAGTTCGAGACCAACCTGGTCTACTGAGCGAGTTCCAGGACAGGCTCCAAAACAATACAGAGAAACCCTGCCTCGAAAAAACCAAAAGAAAAAAAAGAAAAAAGAAAAAGAAAAAGAAACAACAAAAAAGAAGAGTTGGGTAGCAGAGAGCAGGGGGAAGCCAGGTTCAAGGTAATGATTGCGCCTGGCTGTATAACCTTGGGCAAGTTCTCTCCTCTTCCCAGATTCCAGTCTTGTTGTCTTTAAAATGAGGATAATAATTGCAACTATCTCATAATTGTGTTATGAGGGTTCACAAGACAATGTCAAATGCCTGGGCACTGTGCCTGGTATACAGTAAGCCCAACTCTATAAATGTCAGCAATTATCCTAATTGTGATGGGCTAAGGGATGTTTGCTGAGACACACTGACAAACCAGTCCAACCACTTAGGGTAGCCAGCAGGGAAAGGACAGGAGGCCACCTCATCTGGGAGAAAGAGACAACAGTACAACTAGTGCCTAGATCCTCCCTGGCCACTGCTGTGTAACCATTCAGGTCATTTAGCCTTTCTGGGCGCCTAAGTGTCCTCACCTAACAACCCATGCTGCATAAGGGTATCTGGAGTGAGACCCTCATGGTAGTTTCAGCCTTGGTCACTTTACCTGGGGCTGGTAAGCTGAATGACTGGAGAAAATGGGCCATCACCAAGAAGAGCAAGCACACTCTGGCCCTGGTTCCTGAGGCACAGCTCAGACCAGTGGGAGAGAGTTCTGGGAGGCAGCAGGGCTCATAATGAGAGGTCAGCAAAGGTGGTAGGGCTAGGAGGGGCAGGCTGTGTAGATGAGGAAGTGCAGGTGATTGCTAAGCCCAGGGAAGGCGGGGTCAGTTCCCTTAGACCCTTACCCATACTGCTCCTGGAGGCCATGCCCATCACTGGCCAGCACTCGGATGGCAGGGCTGTTCTGCATGGGAGGGGACAAACAGCCTCAGGCACAGTCAGGAGAGTGAGGATTAGAGTTAAGACAGGCAGGATGGGCAGGAGATGGCTACCCACCTGGACATCACTGGTGGAGGAATCGAAGAAGATTTTGATGCCATCCCATGAGACCAGCCCCTCTGGGACAGAGCTGATTTGACCCCTGTCCTGGATGTACCACATGGCCTGCAAGTTCCCAGCCCACAGGTCAGAGACTCTGAAGGACACGGGTACCTGGGTGTTATCGCCTACCTCCCCAACAGATAAGAGTCAGGACCACTCACCATACCCAGGGCTCCCTGGCGCCCAGGTCCA